TGCCCTGCTCCATGGTGTGTGCACACAGTGCACACGAACGACCAACAGACAACGAAAGCCTGCGTGAAGGGCAAATTTCCAGTGATGGAAGTGGGTTTCTGAATCCACGGCTAAGTTCCTCGCTGCTGTGGAACCACAGCCACTCTGGATTGGATCGCTCCCCATGTGTCTTGTCAAGTACCACCAGGGCCTTTCCCGGCGACAGGCTGGTCCTCACGTCGCAAACTCATCTCACCAAGGAGGAACAGAGCCAGACTGGTATGTTCCACCGGATGGGCACCAATCCAATGCCTGGAAGCTCCTACACGCGGCCCGCAAGGGGAGTAACCGTTTCTGTGTGGGCAGTGGTCCACGTTATGCCTTCAGGCAAGCTGGAGATGCTGCCAACAGGACGTTCGAGTCACTCCTCAAGATCTACTTCTGTGAAGCGTGGTGGAAAATCGAACTGAATCAACCAGAATCCCCTCTTCGCCTTCCCCGCAGCCAGGTTTGTTGCAAAATGGTTGCTACTGGCAGCACCTGCCAGAGCGTACGGACGATGTCTCTCACTCACAGAACACAGGAAAGTGCGATCTGCGCTTCACGGAGACCAGCAGCAGAAAGTGAAAATGCACCTCCAAGCGAAGCACCTGAGCCTGCCACCAGTCAAGGTCATCCAACGGAATTCCCAACCTCTCCTATCACAATTGGCAGCACAGAAGAAGAGAGAGTAGACTTCCAGTACATGCAACGGAGCCTTCTGAAGAAGCGTCGCCGGTGGAGACCATCACCAGGGACACAGCGGGAAAGAAGCGGCCTGCGTCCACTGCCCCATGTGAAGATGCAGAGGATCAATGGGATCCCCGGAGGGTGCAAGAACGGCAGCGAACGCTGGTCTCGAGAGCAATGTATCAAAATGCGGCTCGAACGGCCAGAGAAGCTGACGGACAAAGTGCGCCGCTCCCCTCATGACAGATCTACAGTGACCTGCCTAGGGAAACACCCAGCATGCCCTTTCATCACTCACAAACAGCTCGCCCTTTATGCAAACCCCGTATGGCCTACTTGCCTTTATCGCAAGGTGCTGTTCCTTTGATAATCAACACAGACACCAGGGTACAGGAACAGCCCAAGCAGTGGAAGGGAAACCACAGAAAACAAAGGAAAAAGATGTCGATGCCCTCACCTTTACGCAAACTGTCATCATGTCCTTTGTTAGGGGAATGGAGCATGGTGAGCAGACGCTACCCACCAATGACCTCTTTGTCTATCTCCCAGTACAGATCCTGCCCGACCTGGTTGCAGCCATGGAGCGGCAGGGCTTCACGCCCGCGCAAGTGAAAGGGGGCTACGGCTACCGACCCAAAGAAGAAGGAGCTGAAGACAACCCTCTGCTCGTTGTGGGAGTGCACACTAAGGAAATTGCTTACGACCGATACCCCCAAATGCCGGATACGTCCTGGGCTGAAAGAGCTTACAGTGGTGCTCTTGACCCGTCTTTGGGACAAGCTTTCTCGTTCCCTTCCCTTCTGCAGCTGAGGCTGCGCATCGAAGTCCCCTTGTGGAGAGACCTGGCAACTGCCAGACACCCCTCTGCAGACTTGCCTGCAGAAGAAGACTCTGCCTCTGATGCTACCGGGTCAGGTGAGCGATGGCCCAGACTTGCGCTCCCGGTGCCAGTGGGGCTTGCTGAACCACCAGAAGCTGGCACTGAGGAAGCTACTGAGGATGAGGACATGTATCTCTGGGCGTGCCCGGAGTATCTATGCGATAGTCAGTGCTGGGTGGGTGGGTGGGTCTTTGTGTTTGCTCTGTGGCACCCGGTTGCCTCGTTCCTTCTTGATTGTTTGTGAATGAATTGGCACTCCGTGGTGTTTGCTGTCGATCCATTGTGTTCTCTCTTTGGCCTGTGGCCCTATGTCGTATCCACGCACCTCATCAGCTTTTGCTTTGCAATTTTTCGAAAGACGATTTCCGGATTTGTTGTGATCCTTTGGAACCTTCGAAAATTTAATTTTTGACTTCAGTTGCATTCGTTGCAGTTCCTGTCGATTGCATTCGATTCATTAGTCTTTAATAAGTAAAGCTTTTGATGACACATTGCACTTGGATGCTTCAAATCTCCACTCGCCGGTGAGCACTGACTCACAAGAGCTTTGAAGGGTGGGGGGGCGCGCTGCACCGGGGGGGCGCGCTGCACCCGCGGGGCGGGCGTGAGCAATGCCTTCCTGGCCAGTGCTGCCAGATGAGGTTCTGGCGGGGGTCAAGCTGGTTTTCAGTGACCCATTGATTCTCGGTGCTTCTTTTGACGATGAGGAGGGGGCAGGTGGGCTCTTGACATCTTTGTTTCCGGATGCAACAGGGGAGCAGATCTTAGATTGGAGGGCGGCTCTTGAGACTTGGCGGATCGACTCCGCGCGTGTACTCAAGAGGGCCCGGTTGGGAATCGTAGATGCTGCTTTGTGCCAACCCCTCGCAGCCCCTCCTTCGTCAGTAGCAGATTCTTTTGTGAAGATCACTCAAACGAGTTCTCTTTGTGTCTTGGAGTTTGCAGCAAAGAAGCGCATGAAGGCTTATCGGGATGAGGCACCAGATGCTCGCACCAGGCGTTTTGAGGAAGAGCGGAAGAAGTACTCAAGGTTGCTTGCAGCTGTGATTCAGGAGGCACGGCTTCCAGTGGCACGTTTGGTTGAGACCTTAGATGATCAGGCTTCGGGGTGGATACACATCTTTGCGGCTAGGAGAGCAAATACATTGAAGAATCGATACAAGGCATGGAAACCTTTTCGAGACTGGTTGGAACTTCATCGAGGGAGAGTATTTCCAGACTCTGTCAAAGACACTATCGACTATGTTCAACACAGGGTTGATGACGGCTGTGGGAGAACAGTTCCTGAATCTTTCCATATTTCCTTGACATTGTTGGAGCAGGTTGGAAAAGTTCCGGATTGTGAGCGCATTTCATCTGATGAACTTTGGAAGTCACATGTGAAGTCATGGACTGCCGAGCTCTCGGAGGACGCCCCGCCTCGCAAGCCTGCAGAAATGTTCACGGTCGCAATTCTCGTGTCACTCGAGCTCGTAGTGGTTGATCAGGAGTCTGCATTGTTTGACAGGGCATTAGCTTGGGTCGCATTGTGTATGGTTTGGGGCTCATTGAGATGCGATGACGTCCAGGCCATCATTCCACACAGGTCGACTTTGTCAAACTACGGACTCCGGATGGTCCTTGGGAGGAGTAAGACTTCAGGTCCTGACAAGAGGCAGAAAGAGGTTCCTGTTCACATCTTGAGGTTGATTTCATTGACCGGTGCCGACTGGTTGATGGAGGGCTTTGAGATTTGGTCTGAAGATCCTTTCAACTTCCGCAGGGATTATTTGGTTATGGAACCCAACAGGGACTTCTCTGGCGTGAGACGGAAGTTTGTTCCACCGGAGGGATTGAGTTCATTGCTGTTGAGGCTTTTGGGCAATTTGGGAACGCCTCGGATTGTGAATTCTAGGTGGGTCCTGAACAAAACCTCGCTCCTTCTTCCTGATGGGCTGGAGACTCATTTTACTGGGCACAGCCCGCGGAATTTCCTCACCTCAGTGGCCGCGACTATTGGATTCTCAAAGGATGAGCGTGCTTATTTGGGTCGATGGGCCATGGGGATGGCGGCTTCAGAGGAGTATGTCAGGACATCACGTCAAGTGGTCTTCAAGATTCAGAGGCAGGTCAACAAGGTTCTTTTGGAGGGTGGCGACATCCCGTATATGGAAGATGAGGCGGTTGAGCGGTTGTGCCAATCGGCAGAGGCTCGGTCGATCAATGTCGCGCGAATCAAACGTAGGCATTTGATCATGATTCTTGATGGAGCTAACCATTGTCTTGGGGGTGTTTTCCCTTTATTGAGGGTTCACGATGACCAGTGGGAGCTCGTTGAGGGTGGTGATGAAGAACTGCCAGATGCTCAGATTGCTATGCACGCCAAGTCAGATTTGAATCTGTCTACACCTTCTTCGAAGTTCTTCATTACGGTTTCTCGCAGGGCAAACTTTCGCAGGCTCCATTTGGTCGGGTGCTTTGTAAAGCCGAATAAATGCTGTGAAGTCATCTTTGTAGATGAAGTCAAATCGGAAGACTTTGATTCAATTTTGTCGCACGTGCAAGAGAAAGATGCTCTCTGAAGGAGGCAAGGAGGCACAGGTGGATTCGAGTTCCACGGCTTCGTCCTCATCCACCGAAGCGAGTGGTGGGGAGTGATCAGAGTTTGAGGGTGAGTGAAAAGAGATGTGTGTATGTGCCTTTACTTTGCTTCTTTTTCTCTCCTTCCTTTTCTTTCAGTTTTGATCATTTGATGTTCGCATTGGCAATTTTCCGCTTGGTTTCGGCTTTGGAGCTGGGTGAATTTCTTAGTATTGACAAGTGACCTGGGGACCCGTTTTTTTTGATCTAAAAAACGGGCCCCCAGGTCACTTGTTAAAAGTGAACCCAAAGTGGAAATTTGCCAGTTCGCATGCTTTCAGAGACATTTGGAGGGTTGAGACCTAAGAGTGCTCTGGCTTTACTTGCAGTTCCTTTTGAATCCGTTCAGACGGCACGGCAGTGGGCTCAGGCTCCACCCCAGCGTTTGAGCTGGGAGATCATGATTGGTCATGGTGTTGATCTTTTGTTCATTCTTGAGTTTTGACTCTGTGTCTCAGGACCTTTGTGTTTATCTAGTGGCATGTTGAGACATGTCTCTTTTCTTTTGGGTTTAGACCCTCAGAGTTAAGACTCTGTGCACTTTGGGAAGTGCGGCATGGCAGCGCCTCTCGACGATGCGGGGCGGAGAGCATACATTGCTTCGCACATGGACTCTGACATTCAGTTCATCTTGGGAGAGTCAGGTGTTTCTGTGGCCACCCAATATAATATTGCTCAGGCATATACTACTCTTAGGAGATTCAGTGCTTTAGCCGATGACAGGGCCGGAGTCCGTCAAGCCTGTAGGGATGACTTTGCCCTTCCGGGAGATACTCCTCAGAGCAGAGCTGAGGTTGCATCGGTTGTGGTGGCTTGGGAAACGTCCAAAGAGTTCATTGCAAAAGAAGTTGAGTTGAGAGCGGAATCAAAAGTCATGGGCCAACCACGTGTCTTGCAGGTTCATGAACGCCAAGCTATGATTCGAGCTGTTGAGGCAGTCCATGGTGCATTGAATGAAGCCGAGTCTCCATCTCAGGACTATTTGTCTTTGAAGGCTGATGAGACTGAGTGCAACGAACCTGTTGCAGCCCAGCTTGATGAGATCCTTAGTAAGAAAGAATCATCGAACGCATCAATCCAATCATCCGTTGATCCTTCAGGCCATCTTCGCGTGACACGTACGAAGGTGAAGGCAAAGATGCCAACGACCACAGAGGAGTATAGGCGGGTCATGAAGGTCGAGATGTTTGCATGGTTGTGCATGGCAGCTCGTTTTCGTTCGAAGCATTGGCTCCATGGATTGACGGCCGAACCTTTCTTGAAGTTTGTTGATTTCATCTTAGGTGATCGGGTTTGGGGGGTTCAGGTTCCTTCGCAGGCCGGGGAGTCGCAGAGGCTGAAGCCTGACTGGGCTATCGTTCTTGCTTTCGAATATAAGTTGAGGAAGGAGGCAATGAAGCTTGTTACCAACAGTGGACACACACTTGCTGATGCTTTGGCCGCAGTCATTCGAGACCCCGATCTGAAAGAGGCTTATTTCACCACCCCCATTGCTCTCAAGGCCGCTACATCCCAGGAATCAGCTCCGCCCAACAAATGGTTGCGCCTCACTGACAAAGGTGGGAAAGGCAGGTGGGGGAAGGATTCAAAGGGCAAGGCATTTGGGAAAGGCGCCAAAGGAAAGGGGAAGCACGGACAGGATCAGAGGTTGGCAGGTCTCTCACTTGCTTGGCGCACACCCGACAATAGAGATCTCTGCTTTGCGTGGAATTTCGGCCAGTGTGAGGGCAAGTGTAATCGCGTTCATCAGTGTAGGGTCAAGGGTTGCTATGGCGATCATCCCGCGATCCATCACAAAGAGAAGGTTGGCGCCTGACAGGAACGGGGCTCTCATGATTCCGGCGCCGTGGGGGCTCCACAAGATCCAGGTCCATTGCCTTTTGTGAAGGTCATGTACTTGTTTGCCGGAAAGCGTAGGCAGTCAGACATCGGTTCCGTCCTCAGAGAATTTGAGAGTATGGGCAAAATTAGATTGCAGTTGCAGGAATTCGACATTGAACGATCACCGGACCATGACTTGCGTGAGGATGCATTGTGGCTTGACATCAAAACTTGTTTGGCCGAGGGTTCATGGTTTCTCATTGTTTCACCTCCATGTAACACGTTCAGCAGGGCACGTTTCCAGTTCTTGAACCACCCGGGCCCTCGACCGGTCCGGAATGTCACTTGGCCGAAAGGTTTTCCGTGGTTGAGCAATTCGAATAAGGGCATTGTTGATGAGGCGAATCAATTTGTCTTGAAGTGCTTGGACATGTGTCATGAGGCATTTGCGGCACAAGGCCACTTTATCTTGGAGCATCCTGAGGACCTGGGCATAGTCCAGGGTGAGCGGCCAGGCTCCATTTGGCAGTGGCCTGAGCTTCATGAGCTTCTCACTGTGTGTTCAGCTTCTTGTTTTGCAGTGCACCAATGCCATTTCGGGGCGGAGACGCCCAAGCGGACCAGGTTTGCCACTTCGTTTCCCGTTGTTGATAGTAGGTGCCATTTGTCTTTGCCTAAGTTCGATAAGATTGGTAAGTACTTAGGCCCTTTGCCCAGGGATTGTGGACATCATCATGAAGCCAAGTTGATTGGTAAAACAGCTCAGGGCTGGAAGACTGCCCCCAGCGCAGCATACCCACCAGAATTGTGTAGATTCATCGCTCAGTTGATCCTTAATGTTAGCACATCCGTTCGGAAGGGGCAGAAGGACAAACCTCGCTCTGTTTCGGATTCGTTGGGCCATCCATCAAAGAAGCTTCGTTCGGGGAGTACACTTATGCCTCCAGTGGACAGCCAGGCGTCTTCTTCGTCACGTCTTGTGGATGTGATTGATTTGGATTCCAAAGAGCCCACTGAACGTCATGACCAAGTCACGGACTTTGAGATGGAATCTTGCCTGAATAGGGGGAGGCCCATGCTGGCAGAATGGGACAATAAGTCGCATGAGTTCATTGATGGATTTGGACTGTGCAGCCCAGCCAGATGGCCACCTTTAGCAAGAGGTGAACGCAGGTCTTCTGAGATGCATCAGTTGGCGGCCAAAACCTTTTCCCTTCTGGAAAGATTCGTCATACAGCACATTACTGATCATCGTCTCTTAGCCTTCAAATTGGTGACGGGTAAGTTGGCATCGTCTCCATTCCCTGAAGACGAGATGCACGAGTTGCGGAAGTCTTGAGCTTCATTGCTCAAGGACCCCAAGGATGCGGGAATTGTTGATGAAGGTCAGCCATTCTATCTTCGTGCTCTCTCGCAGTGGTTGAAGGTCTTTGAAGACCCAGATGTGCATTGGTTGGTTGATGAGAGCGATTCCTTCGCCTCGGGGGTTCCCCTTGGTGTTGAGGAGCCATTGCCTCGTTCGCCACAGGTGTTTCCTCCCAAGGTGAGACACCGTAAGCTTGACGAGACCGAATTTAACCCTCTTGCAGTGAACTATCCTTCAGGTCAGTTGAGTCGCAAAGAACTGGAAGAGAAGTTCAGAGAAGAAGAATCGTTGGGACGAATGTTTCCTTCGAAGCTTTCGGTCCTTCGTACAAAATACGGTGAACACAGGGTGAGAGTGGCGGCCATGGCGGCCATTGCAAAACCGGATGGCTCAGTTCGACCTCTTCACGACGCCACCCATTCCGTTAAAGTGAATCACTCCATAGTCTACCAAGACCAAATACAATGCCCAGGCCCAGCAGAGATCGCTGCTGTCGTTCGGGAGGCTTTCGAGTCCAGAGAGGCCCCCTTTTGCGTTTCGGCAGACATTAAAGCAGCTCATAGGCTTGTAAAGATTCGGGAAGAGGACTGGGGGTACACTTGTTGCCGGGCTGATTCGGCCTCGGATGTGGTCTGGGTCAACCGCACTGGCACCTTCGGGGTTTCCAGCGCTCCCTATTGGTGGGCGAAACTTTGTGGGCTCATCGGTCGTTTTGTGGGGCATTTGACGCAGACTTCTTTGTTCCTTCATATGATTTACGTCGATGACCTCCATGGTGTCTTCTTAGGTGAACGGAAATTCTTGGATCTTTGGATCTGGCTCTTGGCGTTTGAGTTAACGGGTACGCCCTTTGGTTACCACAAGTTCAAAGGCGGCGTGGCATCAGAGTTCGTTGGATTCAATCTCAGGTACGATCTCACTGAGGTTGGGATCTCGGACAAACGTGGCCAGTGGTTGATCCGCTGGATTGTCAATGCCAAGGATAACCGTTGGGTCGTTCCGGCCAGGGACTTTTCAGAGTTCTTGGGACGCCTTTGCTTTGTCGCGCAGTTGCTTGTATGGCTGAAACCGCACCTTGCTCCACTGTTTGCTTGGACGGCGGTGGTCGGTCCTGGGACTGTGGGTCGCCTTCCAGAGGCGGTCATCCTGACGTTGCATTACATTTTGGCTGAGCTTGTTTCGGAGTCCTTCAGGGTCTCGGCCAAGGCCCCTGTGTGCCATACTCGTGAGGCCTTTAGGACGGACGCTAAGTGCACCGACACGTTCGTAGTCCTGGGGGGTTGGGAACTTGGTTCAAGGCGTTGGTTCTCCCTTAAGCTCACTAAACATGATGTCCCTTATTTGTTTCGTGAAGGGGGCGGCTCTCAGTGGGCGTCCACATCTGCTGAACTCTTAGGGACATTGGCTGCACTTCATGCGTTTGGTTGGTTGGTTCCCGCTGATGTGAGGAGGTCGACGGTTGTGTCTCTCTCCGCTGGAACGGACAACCAGGCGAACGAATCCTTGTCAATAAAGAGGTCTTCAACAAAATGGCCTCTCATGGCGATCAACATGCAGTTGTCAGCTTCGTTGTCCAAGGCCAGGTTGGGTCTTCGGTTGAGGTGGCGTCCTCGCGACGAGAATGAAGAGGCAGACGACTTGACCAATGAGGTCTTTGGGTCGTTCTCTGAGTCTCTTAGGGTTCCCCTCACCTTGCAGGACTTGGACTTGAAGATCTTGAGCTTGCTGGTTGAGGCCAGGGAAGCTTTTGATGTGGCTCGGGCCAAAGCTAAGGCTGACAAGGGTTCAGGGAAAGGTTCGCTTTCAAAACGTTTTGACAAGTCGCCTTGGTGAATCTTGCGCACTCTCTAAAGACGGGGGGTTTGCAGTCGTTTGCAAGACCAACCAGGTCTGGCCTTCGTCTTGGGACCGTTCTTTGTTCAAGACACTTTCGATCCCAGTCCTTTGGGAAGCTGTTCGAGGGCCAGACAGACAGATGCGGGAATCGACCACCTCCTGGCAAAAGAAGTGTGGCGCTTTCATGCTTGTTCTTGTGTGAGTTCACTGTTGCAGTTTCAAACATGTGCATTCAACTTTGTGGGTTCTTGTCTTGTGCTTTCTTGTACGTGAAGACGTTAAGAAACAATAATGCGCGACGTGCGCTTCTATTAACGCACCTTTCTAGAACGCACTTGACCCCCGCATCTTTCTAGAACCCAACTATGCCTTTGCCAAGGGATACGGACGTTTCGGCATAGGTTATACTAGGCTAGCAACGGCGCTCGGCAATTTTGAGCAAGGGAACATCCAAGCAGAAAGTATAGTAGTAGCTCAGTGGCTGACCTCCGGGCTACGAGTTGCCATGTCCCGCACAGGGTGGAATCTGCTGTCTCCCCGCTATATGCTGACCAAAGTTCCTAGTGCTCTCCTCAGTAACTACTGCTGCCATGGATATCCTTTCACTCCTAAAATGGAAGATCGCCCATATAACCAATATGGCCAACTCCTCTACTCGGAAGGCTGATGGGATCAGCTCTGTGCATGGCTTACTGGGAATTCCAAGTTTAGAAGTCAGCTCGCAGGCCACAAGCAGGCGCTTAGGGACCACATGGGCTACAGTCAGGAAGCCTCCGACGGGCTGTTGGCAGATTTAAACTGTCACGTGTCCACTCCTTGAGGCGAGGCTGCTGAGACTGCTAACAGACTAGACACCCATCTGTTACGTCTTCGCCTCCCCTGTAGGGAGACTGAAGGTGCTAGCTTTGGAGGGAAACGCAAGAGGGCGACCGCACGGGTGACCACCATTGCTCTTGGGACCAGCTTTTTTTTTCCACGAGTACGGACGCCGTGTGGGCATGGTGCCCAGGTCATCGTTGAAGGAAGGGAAATACAGTCAGATGGTGGAGAAAAGGACAAAAACAACCCAACAACAAAACAACCGCCAACCACAGCCCACAGGCCGAGTCTCCACCATCCTGTAGTCTTTCCTCTGTGCTAAGGTGAAACAAGTGAAACGAAAACTACTGACTATCAATTACCAGTGACCAGCGGCCACTGCACGGTGTGGCAAAAACATGGTCACGATGCAGGTCCCGAGCATTGATATGCTCCAACGCCGGTTGTATCCATGTCAAAGTGGATCAGTGGTTGCTACGCATCATGCCGTGGAAAAAAACCTTTCTTGTAGCACAACCCGTTCAACAGGTTGCACTTACAAGTCCAGAGGCATAGTAGTTGGTGTGTTCAGACGGTGGCAGCCATAGCAAACGACGAAAGCCTGCAGGTAAGGGTGCGAAAGGCACTCCCCCCACCCTTCGGCACACAGAGGTGCCAAAACGGGGTGTCTCCTAACTTCGTGAAATGCTGCGTCATTGCAAAAATTGTTCTGTTGCGTGCAAGGCCCGTGTGAAACAGGTGAGACGTTGAAACTATCCTAGCATGGTATCTGTACTTCTTTGTACAAAATAGGAAATGTCGGACATTCCCCTGGGCATCCTCCATTGCCACTCTCTACCACCCGCCTGTTGGGAACGAGGAGCTAAGGCTCTCATTCCTATTGGCGGCTCACTGAATTGCGAATGGCGAAAAGAGGTTGGCGATCCTACTTAGTGTTTGCACATTTCACTTGCCGCAGCTTGCTGGCGGTGTGCTTATCCACCATTCCCGCTGCGAAAGCATTGCTGGTCTTTGGTGCAGGACCTGGAAAGTCTTCTCTCCATTGATCACTGGCATCGGCCGACAACTCTCGGTGCTGCTTGGACTGGACGAGTTACCCACCTTCGTCAAGGACATATGTCCTTCGCCATGTGTTGCTTTTTCTTTGTTTGTACTTTGCTCGAAAGTGCGTACTGCCTGCAACAGCGCATAGCGCCATGTAAAGCAGGAGTGGAAACCTCCTGTAGAGAGGTACGGTTAAGGAAGGCTTCTTTTGCCGTGATCCTCAGTTTGGGACAGATCAACAGTTTGAGCTGTTGACGGCTCGCACAGGCGGTGGAACCTATCCTGGTGAAGTCTGTCGGCAAGGCAAGTGCGACAATGCCCGCCGGTCTTGGATGAAGATCTGTCTCTCTGACCACAGCTATCGCGGTCTCACTGTCACTCGTCAAGAGTCTGGGCGCGCGCCTTAGCTCGAGTCCAGAGTAGGCCAGAAGCCACAGCAGGCCAAATACCATGAGTAGAGCTAGCTTCGGTTGCAAGCATTTTGCACTAAAGCACCCGAATAGTGTTGCTCCGTGACAAGGGAGGGCACAGATCAATGCCCTAGCGTTCGACTCGGCCAGAGCAGGATGCAGCGCACCCAAACCGAGGCTTATCCCATGTCCGGGATCATATGCAGCCAGGGTGGCCACCTCATATTGGGACAAATGGCAAAAGCATTTTCTTCAGCATAGACTCCTCGCCATTTGTGCCTTCCTGGCATCTTGGCGAGCCTCTTAAAAGCAGTGCAATCCAAGAAAGCCCTACTTCCAATGTATCTCAGTGAGGGCGGGATTGCAAGCTCAACCAGGGCTGCACAGTTCATAAAGGCTTTAACTCGGATTGTGTGGAGAGTGGGCGGAAGGAGAACTTCTCTGAGGCTAGTGCAGTGCACAAAGGTGAATTCCGGAATTTCTTCAACATTGGTGTTGCAAAGGTCTACACTCTTAAGCAGTCGGCAACTGTCACACGCATGCGCTCCAATAGCTGTAAAATGCTTCGTGAGAGCGAGTGCGGTGATTCCCGTAGAGCTAAGACAGCCCGGTGCCAGCTCACTGGTCCTGGCCTGCAGTGTTGACCCTCGGGGGATGGAAGCTCACGCAAGGTAAACTCAGCAAGGTTAATATACCCTTGAAAGAGGTATTGCCCGAACTTGGCTTCGTTGCTGAACATATTTGCAACCCCTTCCAATGCATACACCCATTGTAAGGAGCAGCATTCCGCAAAGGCTTTATCCAAAATCTCGGCAACCAGGAGCCGAGACACTGTTTAGTAGTTTGCAGTCACGAAAGGCGTCATCGGAAATGCCTACGACAGTGGCCGGCAATTTGACAATGCGGAGCTGTCGACAATTCTGCCAAGCCTCTGCTCCAATGAGCCTGATACCTGACTCGACACTGACGTGTCGCAGACGCGGAACCCCTGCAAAATAAGCCCCTTCCGGGACGATTTCCTCTGGGTTCATAGGGACATGAACGGCAAGCGGAACATGATGGATAGGGCATCCTTCGAGTTGTTCCTGTGATGGCAGGATTACACTGCTATCCTTGAAGACAACGGTGTATGCCATGCCTTGCTGTAGCCTGTCCCAAATTGGGTCCTCAAGGTATGTCTGCGTGGCAGTTTGCAGAAAGTCGATGGAGCACCCAAACACTTTGAGGTCAGTAACTGAGGCCAGATAATCCATAACCTGGTCCTCTAGGTCCTCAAATCGATCAAACTTTGCCACACTGAGAGAGACCTTGATAGTCACCCCCGAGAGCGTTGTCAGTACCAAGGAGCAGTCCATGACCGGCTCCATTTCAGAGGGAGTGCTAGGCCTGGATGAGTCGTCGAGCTCCATGTGTGGCAGACTACTTTCATTTACTGTTTGAGCCAAAGGCTTCTGACTCTGCTCATGGACTGTTCCTAGGGCCAGGGATGTTTCCTAAAGACAGATGCTAAGGCGCCCACCTTGAACCTCACATGGACTGGCCCGATGTTAGGAGAACTCGTTGTATAGCTCTTCGTCAAAGGCGTCCGAATCGGGTCCTTCCGCGGGGAGCAGCTCCACCCACAGGGGTTTTTCAAATTTGTCACACATAAAGAAAGCATTGTGCTCTGCCTGCACCCACTGTTCAATATCTCCCCAATCCAGGGGAGTAAATCGTTGCAGTTGCTCACACCCGCAGAAAGCACAGTTGCCTATGTCACTGAGCTCTGTCGGGATGACTACTTCTTGGAGCACCGCACAATTAAGGAAAACTTCTTTGCCAATTTGCGTGAGTCGTGGTGGAAGCCATATGCAATTTAAGGCTACACAGTGGGCAAAGGTGGAATAGAGTAGGGCTGTGATTTCTGTGCCCATGAGGTTGACCTCCACAAGTCTTTTGCAGTTTTCACAGGCCCGCGGCCCGATATTGTGAAAGTCACTTGGCAAACAGAGCTGTTCAATGCCTGCTCCACAAAATGCACCTTCAGGCAGCGCTCGAGGTTTGTTGGTGTGGTCCATGTCAAAGGTGATGGTTGTAAGCGTGAGGCAACTCTCAAATGCATACTTGCCTAGCTGTGCCCCTGGTGCAAGGACGTTGCTGTCCTCCGTTTCGTGACTGACACCAACTCGACCTAGGGAGCAGCACTCCGCAAACACTCTTTGGCTGTACTGGACACACCCCGGGGCGGCCACCTCTCTCAGCACGTAGCACCCCTGGAAGGTCCCTTCTGCAAGACTTATGACCGAGGGTGGGAGCCTGACAATTTGCAGTTGCTGATAGCTCTGCCAGGCCGCAATTCCTACATGTTGGATGCCCATTGCCACTTCTACATGCCGGAGCAAGGGTGCAGCATAGAAGGCTCTGTCAGCAATTTCTCCACGCGGGTTGGCCGGGACACGTACAGCTTTGGGGTAGCTTTCCCTACCGTCTTCCTGGAACTGCCAGATGGAGTGTCCATCTACCATGCAGGGACGAACTACAATTTGTAGTTGCGGCCGTTGCAGGAGCACCGTGCGGAATGCTTCTGGCAGGGGTTGCTGCGTGTGAAGGTCGAGCAAATCCAACTCACAGCCGAAGACATCCAAATCTGAAACTGTTGGCAGAAAGCAAAGAATGTCATCTTCCAGCTCTGCCACATCCTCATACTGGGCGAGATTTGCTTGCATTGCATATTCCGTGCCTGCT